TTTCCGCCGCGCCCTCAAGACATGGCTTTTCCAACAAGCGGGCCTGGTCTAGGGAGGATTTTTAAATTGGGTTTTTTAGAAATTTTAATTATCAAACAACACTAAAATATCGGTTTTAATTTGGTTTTATTCGGTGGGGTGTGTGGGTCTGTTTTTTGGTTTTTTTTTTAATAATGTTGTGAGCCGCCCTGAGTCCTTTGGGAGAAGGGCGGGATATAAATTGAAATAATAAATAAATAAATAAATAAATAAATGCTATGTTGAAAACCTCTCCCAGGATAAAAAAAAAAAGTAGCTCCGAAGGGGTTAAATCAGGGGTCCTCAACCTTGGCAACTTTAAGACTTGTGGACTTCAACTCCCTGAATTCCTCAGCCAGCTTTGAAGTCCACAAGTCTTAAAGTTGCCAAGGTTGAGGACCCTTGGGTTAAATGCTTCTTGTGTGTCTGTTATCTGATTAATTATCTTAGCAGGTTCTGGGATCGGTATTGTATATCGACCAACTCTCTGTGGCATGTACTCTGCAAAATGGAGCTTTCTGATAATTTTATTACCTCTACCAGAACCTTTATTGAAAGCGCCGGTGCAGTTCAAACTGTCAGTTTCACATGTCCCTGTTAAACCTGTATGACTGTCAAAAAGCAAACATCCAAATGATGCTTGTTAGGCCAGATGTTTCTATGCATGTTTTCTGTGCATAAGAGCATAAGATTCATCCACATCGTACTATTAACTTACAATTTGCAATCAAAGCTAGATGGTGGCCTTCATTTGATGCTCTTACCATGCTAACAAAGCAGTTTTGATGGCAACAAGTACCATGGCATCAATAAGATTAACTAGAGCAGGGCTAGGCAACCTTGGCTCAGGAATTCTGGGAGTTGAAGTCCATGAGTCATAAAAGAGCCAAGGTTGCCTACCCCTGAACTAGAGGATGCACAAAAGGAGGTGGAGAAGGAATGTACGTAATCTTCCTCATTCTGTTGAAGGCACCATATTGGATCCAATCCTGAATAGAATTTTTATCTTACCTCATCCTTCGTTCTTTCTCTTTGGCTTTCTCAGCCTGTTCTATCTTTCCTGGAGGCACCCTCTCAAGGCATTCTAGTAAGTCATCTAACTGATGTTCGATAACAGTGAGCATCTGCAAGGTTCCTAGGTTTGCCTCATTCTCTCCAATGCAGCGACGATAGACTTCCAGCACCTTTCGATGCAAACTCACCAACATTTTGTCCTGCAAATTAAGGTAAACTTTCAGGCTTCACAAATCTAGGTTCTCGGACGTTCACATCAGCTTTCAGCTATATTAATAACATCGCCTCAATGCCCTCCCATCTGACGCCTAGCTGTGACATGGGCTCTGGATAGTAGGAGACAACCACAAACATAAATATTTGAACCTCTCCAGATGGGGAGAGCTACAGAAGGTAAAACATTACAAAGCATTGCATGTACACACACACACACACATGCTTAGATGAGCTCAGATCTGATTTCATTTTTCTTCTTCAATGAGGTTGGGACTTTATCAGCATGCCACCTAAATCTTCGCCATGTCTCTTTTTTACCTTTTCTTAAGATCTGGGTGAAGAATCTCAGGGAAAGAGCATGAGGTGGAGATTGCCAGTATCCATTTACCCTGTACAAGATCACAGCACTGCTTCTGGGTCCTGGCTTCATTCAGGCTCGTTGCAGAGTTGACAATCAGAATAGAGAATCCAAGTTATCTTACAGACTTGGGAACGTGATCTTATGATCTTGTAACATTTTCTTTTCCCCTTTTCGTAGCCATCAGAGCCCATTTGCACCGTTCTGTGGGACTAGGTCTATAAGTACTGCACGTACCTTCTGATCTTCAGGTTCAAGCTTTATCAATTGACTTGATGCTATGCATACCTGAACATCTGCTTTGTACTCCCCAAAAGAAAAGACGCGTGCTTTAAGTTCCAGGTCTGCGGCGGTCTCCTCCTCTTTAACAATGTTGGCTTGCAGAGTGACAGCAAGCAATTTCAGCTGTTCTATTTCACGATCCCTAATCCAGAAAAAAAATGAAGTCATGTTTGGAAGAGTTTGACATGAGTAATTTTATACACTGCAATTACTTGGAAAGATGAGCTAATTCAATATATGCTCAATTCTTACTTGGTTAAACCAGATTTGCAGCATTTTCTTTGGAGCTGTAAGTCCAAAGTCCAGCTTTCCACAGGCAAGATTATCTTCTTTCGACTCCCAGGTCCTGGATTTTCCCAGCCCCCTCTATACTATTGACAAAGTTTTGTGATGTCTCGCCAGCACTCCTCCATTTTCTGCAAGCGATTAGCTCAGTGGTTCTCAACCTGTGGGTCGGGACCCCATTTGGGGTCGATCGACCATTTCACGGGGGTTGCCAAGCAAGGCTGTCCGCCATTTTTTTTGTCCGCCATTTTTTCCCCTTTTCCAGCAGGTGTCTTACCTCCCTTGGGCTGGGCCAGTTGGTGGTCAGCCTGCTCCATCTCTGCCGCTTGCCAGCTACGCCTTGGCCGGCGCAGGGGGCGGAACCACGCATGCGCGGCGCTCCTGGGCAGGGAAAGTCCTCGACTTACGACCGGTTGGATAGTCCTCGACTTACGACTGGTTTAGTCCTCGACTTACGACCGGTTTAGTCCTCGACTTACGACCGGTTTAGTCCTCGATTTACAACCGGTTAGGGTCGCGGCATTAAAAAGGTTGAGAACCACTGGATTAGCTTTTTGTACTTTTCTCTTGACACATGGCTCTTGGCTCCATGGGGGAACTGGGTACAACAGCGGAATAGTGGCTCTACGATACTATTACTGAGGATATAAAGTGTGTGTAAATTGGCCTGTGTCATTTTCAGGAGGGAGCACAGGGTCTTTGAGGTAGCCAAACCAGTTAACACTTGGGAAAAAATTCTGAATAAACGTATTCAAATGACAAGACTTCCCTGTTATTTATTTATTTGATTTTTATCCCACCTTATAAATAACTCAGGGCAGCAAAAACACCGAATACTCCTTCTCCTATTTTCCCCACAACAACCACCCCATGAAATGAGTTGGGCTGAGAGAGAGTGACTGGCTCAAGGTCCCCCAGCTGGCTTTCGCACCCAAGGCAGGACTAGAAGTCACAGTCTCCAGGTTTCTAGGTCAGCACCTTAACCACTACACCAAACTGGCTCTCTATGCTGAGATGCTCTGTACTAATATTTAAATCATAATAATTACTGCTAACAAGGTTTTACCATGTAAATGATCCTGCCCACATTTTAACTAAGGCTGCTATTCTTACCATTTGTGGCAATTTGAACTATTTAAAAAGTTTTAGCTTATGGAAACATGCAAGACTGCATGGAAAGCAATAGCTGGCAGAAATAGATGAATGAAGCTGGCGTGTCTTGACATCTCCTGATCCTTTACTCTCAAAAGTGGAATGGAAGAAATCGGTTGAAAATCTTACAAATGTCTCTTCTGTTTTTGTTTCTCACAATAGATGCTAATATGTCTAGGGCAGTGGTTCTCAACCTGTGGGTCGGGACCCCATTTGGGGTCGATCGACCATTTCACGGGGGTCGCCAAGCAAGGCTGTCCGCCATTTTTTTTGTCTGCCATTTGTTTTGTCCGCCATTTTTTTCCCCTTTTCCGGCGGGTGCCTTACCTCCCTTGGGCTGGGCCAGCTGGTGGTCGGCCTGCTCCATCTCTGCCGCTTGCCAGCTACGCCTCGGCCGGCGCAGGGGGCGGAACCACGCATGCGCGACACTTCCGGGCAGGGAAAGTCCTCGACTTACGACCGGTTGGGTAGTCCTCGACTTACGACCGGTTTAGTCCTCGACTTACGACCGGTTTAGTCCTCGACTTACGACCGGTTGGGGTTGCGGCATTAAAAAGGTTGAGAACCACTGGTCTAGGGCTATGGGAGATGCAGGGTAGAACATTTTTTAACAGCAGGGCAGAAAAACAATATTGTTGGATGGTGGTGGCTACCATAGAGCCGTGGTGGCACAGTAGTTAGAATGCAGTATTGCAGGCTAATTCTGCTGACTGCTGACTGCCAGCAGTTCGGCAGTTCGATCCTGACCAGCTCAAGGTTGATTCAGCTTTCCATCCTTCCAAAGTTGGTAAAATGAGGACCCAGATTGTTGGGGGCTACATGCTGACTCTGTAAATCACTTAGAGAGGGCTGTAAAAGCACTGTTGAAGCGGTATATAAGTCTAAGTGCTTTTGCTATACACAAATAATAACTGAGACCATTTGTTGCTCATTTTTGGAAAGAAATAGAATATCCTTGTGTTGCAGGGGATTATTACACAGTAGGCGATCATTTTTACTTGCTTACATTTTGTTGCGCGTGTTAACCAAATTGTGCCGGAGCTCATCCAAAGTTTCCTCAGTCTCCTGAGAATTCTGAATCAGAGACAGGTTCTGTTCTTCCAGCTCTGTGAAAAGCTGCAGCAGCTGCTGTGGATCTGTAAAGTATGATTCAGGTACCTACCAAGGAAAGTATTAACATGAAGGTGTCTTGTATTGTCCATCAAGTTTACAGATTAAGAGAAAAAGCAATCTTTTTTTTTTTTTTTTTGGCCCTGGATTAACTTTGCTAATCATTTCTCCACAGCACTGATAAAAAGTTAAATTATAGCTAATTTTAGTGACACAAAAATGGTGAAAGAGAGAAAAACAATTATCTATCTCAACTGTGAGATGGGCAGCATATAGATTTAATAAATAAGTAAATAAATAAAATATCTACAGTCTCTATCTCTAGCTAGCTAGCTAGTTATCATCTACAGCAGTGGTTCTCAACCTTTTTAATGCCACGACCACAACCGGTCGTAAGTCAAGGACTAAACCGGTCGTAAGTCGAGGACTAAACCGGTCGTAAGTCGAGGACTAAACCGGTCGTAAGTCCCTGCCCGGGAGCGCCGCACATGCGTGGTTCTGCCCACTGCGCTGGCCGAGGCGTAGCTGGCAAGCGGCAGAGACGGAGCAGGCCGACCACCAGCTGGCCCAGCCCAAGGGAGGTAAGGCACCTGCTGGAAAAGGGAAAAAAATGGCGGACAAAAAAAATGGCGGACAGCTTTGCTTGGTGACCCCCGTGAAATGGTCGATCGACCCCAAATGGGGTCCCGACCCACAGGTTGAGAACCACTGATCTACAGTATCTCTTGTCTATCATCTGCATTTTGGTGCTGTACTTCAATGAGTACAGCCAAATCAGCTGGTGAAGTATAGGGTTACATGTTAGGCTGGGCCTCTGAAAAATCCACTTCACATTCCTATTTAATGACGGAGTTCCCTGGGCTACTATTTCTTCTTCCAAACTACTTCACCAGATTATTGAGTAAATAAGAAAAGATTAAATAAGGAAAGATCCCACCCACATGTGACCACCTTGAGTAGGTTGGGCAACTCATAATCTGTATAGAGCCCGATCACATTTTTTGCAACATCAGGATTGTGCCATCAAAATTCAAGATGAAAATTATAATTTTTAAAGGTGCGATTGTCCTCCATTTCTTAGTTTAAACTTTTCAGTACCTTTTAAGCTACTAAAATTTTTCAGCACTATTTCACCTTAAGAATTCCAGCTTAAAAATGTACAATTAATTGCTGAACTCCATCAGTGGTGCAGTTATATTCTAAAAACATTGAATTGCTAACCTCATCATCATCTTCATCAGATAATTCTGGAGTAAATTTTTCTTCTGATGGGGCAATCTGTACACTCCTGTAGAAGTTATTCCTGAGTTAGTTGTTTACAGGGATTACAATGCAATGTTTATTTTATAGTTTATCTCGCTCAGTGCTTTTTTTCTATAAAAAAAAAAAAAGGTGCCGGAACTCACACACATCATACAACCCGCCTTGCCTACCCAACAAGGTTCCATCCAAAAAAGGTGCCGGAACTCCGTTCTGGGCGTTCTATGAGAAAAAAAGCCCTGATCTCACTGATCCCTCAACATGTATTTTGAACTGGAGTTGGAAATGGATGGCAAGCAACTGTTTTCCACTTTGTGGAAAGTTGGAAGAGATGACAGCATATCCATAGATGAAACCTATTAAACTGATTCAATCATTTATCCTCTTTCTCAGGAATTCTGGGAATTGTAGTTTTTTTCAGGAAATCTCCACACACTTTTCTAACAGATTATTTTAAGGGTGCCCTTATGCTATGTTCACCTGATGACTACCTAGACACAATCAGACAATTCTTTTGGCCATATTATGCAAGTAGTTTGCCATTACTTTCTTTGGGATTTTTTTTTTTTCTGTTTTCCTATCTAGCCAAGAACTTGAGTATTCTCTGATGGTCTCTTGCCCAAATGTTAACCAGATTTACTCCTGTTAAGCTTTTGCAAGATTTGCTAAGTTCTGCTACATGCTACTACTACCTGTTTCCTTTAAGTTAATGGTTGGACTTCCTTCTCGCCTGCATCCTTCCATTTTTTTCCCCTGGAAGGGTGACAACATTTCATGGCAAATTTTCAAAATGGGAATATGGAGGGGA